CGGAGCGGCCAATGGCGAGTGCTCGGGCTAATTCTAGGGTGCCGCCACCGCGCCATCTTTGCATCATAATGTTGTGCTCGCGGCCCCCTTCGAGCCCCCCGCCTCCCCCTCCAGGCGGGTTGCATCCACCTCCGCCCGCTCGCCCCTGCGCCCCACCACCGGCAGCCGCCCCTCTCGCCGTGGCTTCCAATCCCCCGGGTGGAGAGGGAGAGAAAAAGACGCGGAGAGGGAACCAAGGAGAAGGAGAGCAAGAAAGGACGCGGTCTGGACGGAGAGGGAAGGAGGCGCGATCAGAGCGGTAGACGGAGACACCCCAAGCTAAGATGCGCGTACCTACGTATGCACGAAAGGAAAGACGAAGAGAGAGAGGAGAGCAAAAGTGCGGTCCAAGAGCGGAGGAGGGGAGGGAGTGCCACCCGGAGGGGAGGGACAAAGGGGTTGTCTGCGCCTTGTCTGCCGGGAATCAATCACGAGCCAGTGGCTCTCAGCCGATCCCTCGACGAGGACCCGGACCCTGCGGGATCGAGGGGTCGAAGGACGCGATCGACCACCCTCTACCCCCCGGGCCCACGCGGATCTGGGGGGGCGGTCGGGAGCGGTACCCTGAGCGACGCCGACGCCGCCCGAGGACGCCCACGGCGACGCGGCACCTACGCCTCGGCTACCATCTCCTGTCAGGGAAAGTAATCTTAAACCGTACGTGCACGCCGCTACTGCTGCGTGCACTCCTCCGAAGAGAGACCTCCGCGATGTCAAGGCCGGGAGACCTCCGCCCCCGGGGGCAGGGGCGAGAGACCGAGGGTGGCGTCCACTGGAAACGCGGTTACGGGAGGGACGGTCCTGGGGGAGCCTAAGCGATGTCGACAGAGATCTTTCTTCTCATCGAGGATAATTCCCCAATCGAGATATTGAACACTTAAATTCCATATCTTAACACATTCGCGACTGCTGACGTAAATTCACGTCATTTTAAATTCATTCCTGATTGCTGCTGACGTGAATCACGTCCATGACGATACACGATACAAGTTTGCGGCAACCAGTTTCAGAATTTCATTATTTTCGCCGGTACTCAGTATTTGAAGAGGAAAAAATTTGCCGGTCGCTAATGTGTTGACTTAACCTACGTTTGCGAATTTCTACTTGGAGGAATTCACAGGTTAATCTGGGTGATCGTCGCGGATCATTGCGGATCATCATGGATTTAACTGCTTCTGGTCAAACTCAAACGGATTTCGGTCGGTCAGGTGATGACTGAAGTAGGAAATCATTTTTTTACGGGTTATCGCGTGATCGATTAATGAGTTCTATCGTAGTCGCTTAATTTCTAATGGTTTTAACGCGATACGTTGTCCAGCTATATTCCTAATGATTTCCACGGGATTTCCAGTATTAAAGCCCATGATACGTGTGTGAATATCCTGTCGATTCAGAGTATTGCATAAGCTAGATCAGCATTTTTTAATCTTTTTATTTTGACGGGCCGGCGAAAATAAGAGAAATAGATATCGGAACGGTCGATGACTAAAACTGGATTAAAAACGAATATAAATGATTCGGGGAATTTTTTTCGCTAACCACCGGTAGAAGAACTGTGTTAGATGACTGTTGGTCGCGAACGGTGACAGTACTTAGAGCATTGGAAAAGGTGGAGATAAGAATATCCCCTTTATCACATCAGGCGCCCCGTGAGGTAGGACACGACGGCAGGAAATTACCCGAATCGCCATTCCACGTTCCGGATAATCATTCGAACTATAAATAGTTAATTACTTCGTGTCCCTTACTCAATTCCGCTTCGCCACTAAACATAGTAATTTCTGGTGATAGTATCGCCACTTCTGAACGGGCATTTTTGCACCGGTTGATTTATTAGAGAGCTCGCGACACCCGCTTGGCGGCGTATTCGTTGTCTGGAACAAAAAACCATAAAGAAGGCTTTCATTAGCGTTCATTAGGACGGAGACGTTGACGCAGCATTTCATAAATCAAAATACTCTTCGCGCTGGCCAATAATCGAAGCCCGACCGATCAACGGAGTTGTTCGTCCCAGCTGGACAACTCCTAATTAGACCCAGAAAGCATTATGTTCCAAGAAAACCAAACAAAAGAACGATAACCAGCAAGATTTCCAGTCGACGGAACAACATACTCCAGCAAAGTCCGTCATCTTCTTCGACGATACTGATAAAACGTTTCCCCCGGGTCAGCAAAATCTGCCAAACGGCAAGGATTGTTCCGAGGACCTCTTCCGTCGTCTTATCGACGTATCTGATGAAAATCTCGACTTTTTGCTGAGGAACCACGTGATAGTCCATCAGCCCTAGGTCGGGGACCGTGTCTAAAGAGGTGGACGATGGGCGAAAAAAGGAACAAAGCTTGAGGAGCAATCGGCGGCGCGTCGTGAGGCCATCGCACAAAAATGCCGAAGCAAACCTAGAAGACACAATGGCCGGACGCGGCGGGTTCACAATGACGGAAAATAATTAACGCGAAGCTGAAGGAGGGCGCCTCAAAGGGGCCGCCAGAAGGGGATGATGGTGGAGGTAACCAATCAAACCGATCGATGGGCAGAATGGGTGTTGGGCACATACACGACTTCGATCGCGCGTGACGACCCGCTCGATTCCTGACAACGTATCTACTAGTCGGGACTAGATGTACCGAGTTGTAGACACTCAGATGGGTCGATGATCTTACGATCTATCAGGTTTTCCGGGAGGATTCTAGCAAGTGGTGGTCATGGTTCGGCAGAGATCGATCGGTCCTTGGTTGACGATGGTGGTAGTTGATGGGGTCCTCTCTGGTTGCGCCTGGAGTCCTGGCCGAGTACAATTAAGCGGTTTGGTAGTTACTTCGGGGATCGATTGGTTAAAACTAAGAGAGGCTGCCAGGTATCGGCTGGAAATCGATTAAAGTCGATTATCATACCATGGAGACGATAATCCTTGACGTCGAAGGTCTAGCCTTGTTGGGAGCTGATCCACTCCTATGAAGCTATTCCGAAATTTGGGAATCAATCAGCTATAAACAGATCCACTGGGCTTAAGCCATCCTTAACGATAGTCCCAACTGTGAGTACGGCTCTAATTGTCCCTGTAATAAATACGAGGACAAGTTGATCCCTAATTAGATAGTAGACCGACCAAGTACCACGATCCTGTCAGTCAGCTGATAGTCATCGCAAGGTCAGATGAATTCTGTAAGACACCGGTTCCTAGCGACTCTATCAACCGAGATCAATCGGTCCCGGATGAACACGCCGCGGCGATGGGATATCGATACGATATCGCACACTATCAATTACCAACTTGCAACTCCATCATCGTGCCCCCTGATTGTACCCAAAATTCCGGTTGAGTTAAGGCAGTCGTACCGTGTGACGGCTCTACTTTTTCCCCTTTTCTGAATTTTTTCTATATAAACATGGGAATACCCCATTTTGGAATTTTTACAATATATTTATTAACGTTTATACAGTCACTCGGAATTATGTCAAGCATTAATATTTATTGGAATTGACTTTACAGCGTCCGAAAGACATACATGTGAACAATTAATAGATTGACGGCTGACATGATTCCGCTTATTCTGTTCTGTTTCTGTTAGAGACAAACCACTTTGAAGAGGCCCCGCCGCGTATCAGGCCCCGGTATCACCCACGCGTCGGACGATATCGGTAGCTTTTCAACCCACGTGGACCCCTGCGACTTTAGAGCCCACCTCCCGCGATTGGGGCGATCAAGACGATCAAGACGATCGGTGCGATAGGCGCGATAGGAGCCGGGCCCCCCGCGGCACAGGGGGCCGCGGAAATCATCCCGTAGGATCAACGCCGCACCGGGGTGTCGGCCTCCCGTGGATGACGCTCCACGGGACCGATCAGGCCCCGTCCACACCTCGACCACCAAGTGACCAGCTGAGTTATACTCACGTCCACGGCGACCTATCCTTTAGATTCCTCGTATTATTTTCTCAACTTTTTGAGAGAAAAAAAAGTCTGGACTTTCTTCGGAATTCCCTGTCTGAAGCTGCGGTTTTTTAATCGGATGATATCTTTCAAGTATTTCCAGTAGTTTTAATATCGGTTTTGGTATTTGGATATTGTTGATTTATTGAAAATAGAAAAAACCAAATTTTGGGGAACTCATAGCCCTCCAGTTCGTCCTGTAAGGATTAAAAGGCTTCCAAACTGACTTTTCATCGTCGGAAGTTTTTTAAATCTCAGTTCCTGATCGCTCCTACACTAATCTTTGCCCACGTCTCTAAACTCTGCATCTTTACACACAATTACATTGCAATTCAACTTTAGGAACAGTGTAACGTGGGTTGAACGTTCAAATCTTCGCCCTTGCTACGCGAAATTGAACGTTAATGGTGCGTCTATTTTGCGGATATTAAACTATCATTACCATTGCGTATCGTGAATTCATTGCTAAACATTTATAAGCGAGTACGTATTTAGCATATTCATAAAATACATGGAAAAAATTAATTTCGAAAACGTCTTACAAATGTCACAGTCCAAATATAAAAAGGCATCATTCATGATCGTTTACTGTACTTTCAATTACCATAAAAGCATAACGTTGACACACAAATTTTATCTTGACCAGGAACAAATGCATCAAAAAGGTAGCAAAGAAATTCAATGCTCGTACAGATATACAATATTGAGAAAATTACCGTGTGTGATTATGGTTTATTTTTTACACCTGCAGTATATTTCCACTACATCTATGTATATGAAACGTGCATTCCACTAGTTTGCGTTTATTGGGAGAATTTGTTATGGTCCCATTATGTAATCTCGATATAGAGTGAGGAACAAAGACGTAACCTATGTGCGCAATTCTCGTCTGGGTCATCCTGTTATCAAGTTGGCGTGATACTAAACTGTAATCTTTTGTTGTTTTCGTGGTTTTTGTCTTACAGCTGAGAAATGCGTAGAAGTACGTTTGTTGCGAAGTGCTACATGATTCGATCTCGTTATTTTCCAGTGACCTGCCAGAAGCGACTGAGGAGGGAGCGACAGGCGAGGAAGCAACTTCAGGAGCAGCTCGATCTCGAGATCAAGAGCCGTACCCAGCTGGAGGAGGCGCTCAAGGCGACGGGGGCGTCCATCGAGCAAGTCAGGGCGATCACGGGTAAGTGCTGGCCGCTGTCCACCTGTCCTGGGCTCTGCACTTTGCGCCAGAAAAGTCACCAACACAGAAAAAAAAATGACTAAGTTGCAATTACACCAACATGGCTAAAATATTGTGGTAATACGAACCACACAAAAGATCACATCGAATGGTAAATGTACTCTTGCCAATAGTTGTCGTATCCACGACGTCGTGCTAAAAAGTTGAAGTCGTGATTACCATTTGGTATGGTACTATTAACAATGCAAAAAATGACTCGGTTGCAATTACATCGACATGGCTAAAATATTGTCGTAATACGAACCACACAAATGATGAGACTGATCACGTGTAATGGTACATGTACCCTTGCCAATAGTTGCCGTATCCACAACGTGGTGCTAAAAAGTTGAAGTCGTGATTACCATTTGGCATGGTAATATTAACAATGCAGTGATAAGCGCGGTGTTACCACAAGTATCTTATAGATTATCCCGTATGTTGCTTCACAACGTGGTTACGATTAGCACAACAGTACTTTTCCTAATCATTCTTTCTTTTCCGTGAATCAACTTGCGTTGTTAAAAATTATATGTAACTAAAAGTCTTACTTCTTTGCACAACAGTCACTGAGTCGATTCATAGGGTACATATTGCTCGTCTATAAATGGGGTTTCAAGGTCCGCCAGGTATCGAAACGTCCGATGATCGATTTCTCATCTTTTCGCAAACTTCCGCACCCAACTGGGTACACTTTATTGGAAACAAGTAATTCCTCCCGGAAGGAGTCTCCTTTAAGTTATCTCCCACTTTCGCGTAAACCAAAGGTCTGGAGTCCCCGGAAGAGGGAAAGAGCGGGACGGGGAATGGGACAGAGAAGGAGCCAGTGGAGCCCCGGGCTACTCGTCGTGATCTCAGAATAAATTAATTAATTCGCCGAGCAGAGCAAACACCCTGACACCCGGCAGAATATGATTCCTTACTTATCCTCCGTTGCCGCTGCAGCTCGCCTCACCCCGGACTTAGACCCTCCTCCCCGAACTTGGCCTTACTTGGCCTTACTTGGCCTTACCTCGACTCGGTTCCACCCCTGGAGATCCCGTCTACGTCGACGCGCGACCCCTTCCCAGGTCCTGTCACTACCAAAACTCAAACGCGAAACCCTTTAAGTGAAATCTCTTATTCCGATATAACGTTTCGCGCACCGCCTCGCCGCCATTTTCGCCGCTGATTAACCCTGTCAGCCCCAGAGAGTCGCGATATTAATTTCAAATCAAACGGTAGGAACCTAAGCTCAGGGGTGGGTCCCCAGGGAGGAAATCGAGACGGGAACCTGGAAATAAAAATGTCGAAAAGTCACCAGAAGCATGAACATCCAAATGCCGCAATTTGTATTCAATGAAAATTACCATTAGTCATTTAGTGAAACAACTTTCACAGGGAATTCTTTATCCTTATCAGTAGGGTATCATCTCCAGGTCTTTAGGTCTAGTCCTACGTTTCATCGGCACGTTGGATGCTTCGAGTCAGGTAGCTTCGAAATCTTGGATTTTCTTCTAAGTCCTCAAATTCGGACACGTTTATAGAGCAAGGACCAATTACTCAAATCTTAAGAAGAGGAAGAAAGAAAGAAAGAAGCAGTCAACTTTTGTCCGAAACCCCGTATGTTCTACTATGCAACTACGGTAAAAAGGGGAGACATAAGGGCCCTAAGTACCCCTGCATTGGCCGCCTAGTGACTTTTACTGTAATGTAGGATAAAATTTATACTAGCCGCTTAGAAGCTTTTACTGCTCTGCACGGTAAAACGTACATACTCCGTACAGTAGCTTTTGCTGCACGGAGGAACCTGCGCCGGTCAGTAGCATTTACTGCACAAGCTGGGAAAACTCATCTCAAAGTACCTCCTACAGGTGACGTTTCAGTCATTAAGTCAATAAACCTAAATCTTCTATTCCAAACGCCAATTAAAATCCATACAAATCGGCAAACAAATGAATACATCAGACCGTGTGGGTGAGTCCAAGCTTCGCGGTTGACAATGAGAATATCCAGAAATTTTATCCATTACTTGCATTCTACGCAATCGCGTTGATAGGAAAATGGATCCCGTACGCAGTTACAAGTTTTGAGTTTATACAACAGATTGATTAATAGTAGTATAATAGGATTAAGTGATGTACAACTAAAGTGAAATAAAGATCCTTCTTCAACAGAGAGCGTCGCAGCCGAGGCGCGCACCAGCGCGGACCAGGCCGAAGAGAGCAGCGTGCACTCGCAGTCGCAGCAGCCGCAGCAACAGTCGTCTCAGCAGCAGACGAGCCAGCAACCCCTGCAGCAGCAGGCCCAGCAATACAGGGAGGCGCAAGTGGCGCGTCCACCCCAGCAGCCGCCGACGCCCGAAAAGCCCGGCTGGGGCTACAGCGGCCTCGACCTTATGAGCAGCCAGGCTTCCGCTTTCTGGCAGAACTACCAAGGTCGGTCCCACTTACCCCACCAGCCTCAAACCACCCCCGAACGGACCAACCCTTGCCCGCTCGGATTATATCTACCCGATACGTTTCACCGGTGAAACGTTTCTCCCCTGGGACGCGGTCTGGCATTGCCGTTGGAGTATCGTTGTGTCCATTGGACTCGGTCCGTTGATGAAGGAAATGTCAAAGGGACCAGAAGTAGACTGGGATGGATTTGTACAGATAGGCTGATGAGGCGGGAAACGAGGATTCCGATCGTGGCATAAACTCGGATACAGCTAATTTTTCTACAAACGGAATTTGGATCTGGAATTGCAGTTGGAGTATCGTTGTGTCCATTGGACTCCGTCCGTTGATGAAGGAAATGTCAAAGGGACCAGAAGTAGACTGGAATGGATTTGTACGAATAGGGTGATGAGGCGGGAAATTCGGATACAACTAATTTTTCTACAAACGGAATTGCAATTGGAGTATCGTTGTGTCCATTGGACTCGGTCTGATGAAGGAAATGTCAAAGGGACCAGAACTAGACTGGGATGGATTTGTACAGATAGGCTGATGAGGCGGGAAACGAGGATTCCGATCGTGGCATAAACTCGGATACAACTAATTTTTCTATAAACGGAATTGCAGTTGGAGTATCGTTGTGTCCATTGGACTCGGTCCGTTGATGAAGGAAATGTCAAAGGGACCAGAACTAGACTGGGATGGATTTGTACGAATAGGCTGATGAAGTGGGAAACGGGGATTCCGATCGTGGCATAAACTCGGATAGAACTAATTTTTCTACACCGGAATTGCAGTTGGAGTATCGTTGTGTCAATTGGACTCGGTCCGTTGATGAAGAAAATGTTAAAGAGACCAGAACTAGACTGGGATGGATTTGTACAGATAGGCTGATGAGGCGGGAAACGGGGGTTCTGATCGTGGCATAAACTCAGATACAGCTAATTTTTCTACAATCGCGACGGTAAATCGTGATGATTTACAATATGTGCAGGTACATCGAGTTCCGTTGCCACCAGTCAGTTGAACCTGCCTGTTTGTACGGATTTATCGTTACGGTTTATCGTAGCCACCGTTAAGGTCTTCACTTTAGATTTTGGGTACATTTGTCTTCCGTGGTTATTCTCGTTACTTATGTTTCTTCCCTATTGTTTCACGATGTTAACTGCGTTTTTGTCTGTGTTTCCCTGGCACATCAGCTGGTACTGTTAGTAGGTGGTGAACCTGTACATGTATATCAATTTTTTAAGTGGGTTCGGGGGTAGATTATGCGCGATTTAGGATTTAGCGAAGAGATCCGGAGATATGAATGCTGGAAGAATCGCGAAGGCCGGTCCTGCTCACCCCATCGATCCTGGAATGGCCGGCAACCCCCGAGCGAGTTAACCCTTTCGTGCGCGGATTATTTCTACCCGATGAATCTGGCCGGTAAAAAGAGAATTGAGGCCGAGATTGGCACGCTCGTGCGCGAGGTAGATTCGCGTGGTACGTTCTATCAGGAAAGTGTCTTCGAGTGCGCTAAATAACCCGGACTAACCTAACCTCAGCATAAAATTCCGTACGAACTACTATCAATCCTTTCGCATACATTCTTATCGATTACCATGTTATTCCTAAATCTCTCTCAAGAACATATATCCCGTCCCCCGAATTTACCCCTTTGTCCTCGAGGCCTTTTCACCCGGATGAACCAGCAACTCGAGACGATTTTCCGCATACTTGGTTAACTTCATCCAGCTAACTTAAAATGATCTCACATAGAAATTAACGTTTAAAACTATTATATTTTAATATTTCATGTATACTTACACGTGAAAGATGAAAATTTGTTAAGTATTAACGACTGTATCGTTCCATTGTATGGTATTTTATAAAACAATCGCCAAGATGCGTCCTCGGCTTGTCGAGGCAATTACTGTCAGTAATGTGTTGTTTAATGTCTTTCGCCGGGCTTATTTCGTTGAGAGCACACCTTGCAATCCTTCTTAACTCCTGTTAGAATGACATGTAGCTTTCCATTCGATCGAATTTCGTCGAAACTACAGGTCGAAGTATAAGCTCGATCAGGAGTCTGGCGGAAATCTCTCAACTGGCGACCAAAGTTTTCGTCTATCCTACAGATGACTAAACGACCGTTAGTTTCTCTTCTTTTATTGATCCGCACAGAATACAAGAATTAACTGACCAAGCCTCTAAACCAATACCGTGGAGTAGGAAATAAGAATTCCACCCCACCGAGTCCAGCCGTAACCCTTGAACCGATTAAAAACATCCAATTCCCCCTTCCCGCTAAAGAAACGCCATTTCCAGCCATAGTAGTGCAACCCCCTCTCGAGGTTTAATCGGGCGAGCGCATTAGGGGCTTGCAATTTTTCCCCCACCCCAGGAGCCTAACGAGCGGATATCGGGCGCGAGCCGATATCCCCGATAATGAAAAATCCGGCAGCTCGGCCCATCAAGATCCGTCGTTGATTCGCATCAAGACGCGTCCTCGCGAAAACTTATCCCGCGTCCCACCTGCATTTGCGTGCGCGAGGCCGGGAATCCATTTGCAATAAACAATGGAGATTTAGCCGCCTGGATGGGAGCGTCGTCCTTACGTGGGGTGGTTCGGGGGGGTTTGGAGGGAGACGCGGTACTTACGCCACCGAGGGGACCTCGGGGCCGCTCGTGTCTTCGAGTCATGCATTCTATACGAGCAGGGTCTCCCAACCCTGCCCGCCACCTCTGGCCCCGAGGGCCCTCAGGGGGCGCCGCGGCGCCGGCGGTTGGGAGCCGCTGGGTGTAATGCAGAGTTTATGCACATCTCTCGCAAGTAAGGAAGGAGCCGTAATTTCCCCGGCGGCCACCGCGGCTCTCGGTGGCGTTGCCAGTCCTCCCTCTCTCTCTCCTCTCCTGTGATTCCTCCTCGTCCGCCGTTCCACCCCGAGTACGACGAAGCACTCCGCCACGCTTTAATATTCAGACTATATGCAATAATTTCGCAGCAACCATAACCTCACCCTCCTCCGCCCGCCTACCCCTGGCCCCTGGCTCGGCCGAGATGCCTCTTCTCTCTCGCTCTCTCTTTCTCGGTCTCGCTGCAGTTGCGCGCGCTCGCGGCGCAGGCCCGCGTCGCTCTCGCGCGAATGTGGCCGCGTGTGCCCCTATATATACGGGAGCGGGTGCTGCGCGCGCACCCGTGTGCGCGCGCTACCGCCGCCGCCCCCTCCCCGAGCCCCTCGGCCCGCGCGCCCCTCACGACCACCTCGCGACCGCAATCACTCTAAATCGCCGGGCAGGCTTAATATTTGAGGGGCGGGGCCTTTGAGAATTTTTGCGGAATTGAAACGATCGCCGCCCGCCGCGCGGAGGTGTCGGAAGAGCGACCAGCCGACCCCGCGAGGCTCTCTCCTTCGTATCTCTTTTTTTACCTGCCGAGCGCCATCTTCCTTGAATTATAGAAAGGATCGCGCGGAATGGTCGCCCCTCTGGTGACATGAAAACGACTCTTAGGAAAGTTTCGTTGCTTTTTCGCCGAATTCCGAGTGCCCCTATTCCGAAGGACGTTATTGCGCTCGGTTGCGAAGGTTCCTTGGAGAAGATTTCCCTCCTTTCTGGCATTGAGTCCCAAATTCTCGGGTCACTTTTACCTCTATTCTTAAGGGGCTGTGAAAATGCCATCCGAAGTGTCAATCGTTCGGGAAGCTTTTCTCCGAACAGGGTGCATCGAATCGCATCAAATTTCACAACGCGAACATGAACACTGTAAGAAAGATCCCGACATCCAGGAAATTTCATTCATTTATAAACAATTTTTCGAAACACCTGTAAATAAATTTTTTCTCAATTGAAATTTCATCTATTTAGAAAGAATTTTTCAAAACACCTGTAAATAAATTTCTTCTCAATCGAAATTTCATGGGTGTCGGCACCTTTCATTACATCCCCCCCGCATCCACGTTGGAAAGTTCGAAATTATCATTCACCCCTACTTCATTCGAAAGCTTCATAAACCTGACCTGTCTGACGCAACTTTCCCACCCCCTTAAGTCATATCTCGACTTTCAAAAATCCGATTACAGGGCTGCTTTTGCTGCCAGCCAGAGAAATTCTCTTTGATAATGTTAAACCGTCGCAATGGATTTCGCTAATACACCAACTGGGGTAAGTCCAATAACCGAGAGGAAATGAACTCTCTCGGCATGGCGACAATTTTTCGATTACACCGTGGAAATTATTCAAGACTACGCAATGCCCCTGCTGGATACTTTTCGAATTCGAATTTCTGCCAGAGACGAGAAAATCCAATTCCTGGAGAGACTTTTCAGGGAACGTCCCTCTTCAAGGGCCGAAGAAACGATTTCGCGGCGCGCGAGGGTGCCGGAAAGGGGGTGGCGGCGTGAGGCAGGGGGGGAAGAGGGATCCGGAAGACAGCCTGCGGAAATTTGAAATTATAAAAGCGGGATTCGAAAGCGAGAGGGCATTCTTCTTTTGCTTTTTGTGTCTCCATCGCGCCTTCTCGATTCATACAATTTCACGGTCGGCTTGACGCTGGAGCGCGCCCCACCGGCGCTCTGTTTTACATAAAGATCAGAGCATTAAAAACGCACGGTACACGGAATCAACCCCTAGCCCCCCTACGTTATTCCTCCTCGAGCGAGCGAGGCATTCAGCCAATTACTGCTCTCTGATATGATACTTAAATTGCCTTTTTCTCCGTTCGCCCAAGACGCCCGTTTAGAGAGCCCTCGTCGCCGATTACCCGATATCGGCGTAAGACCCCAACCCCATGGGGGGGGAGGGAGGGAGGGAGGGAAGGGGCGAGATTCCCTGCAAGAAAGGGCTTCGATGAACGCCCGACCTAAGGAAGTAATCCCTCCTGTGGAAAAAGGACAGAAACGCGATTTTGAACCTCACTAATTCTTTGAACACTTTGCATAGTGTCGCGGGGGTGTTTTGAAATTTGTTGTTCGTCGAGTCGTAGAAATCTGTTCGCGTCGATGATTAACGTTAACTGGACCTCTAGATATATTTATATTTATGTTGAAGGCCTTTAGAGTCTACGTTGAGAATTGTGAGGACGAGAAATCGTCCATTTTACGTGGGCAAGTATTGGGCACGAGGGAGCAATTTCTGCCCCATCTCGTCGATGCTACGATGAAACGCGATTACCTTAATTATCGTGTCAATACGTCTAGTTCGGACCTGGGATTCCGTTGGGTTTTTTTTCTTCTCCGAGATGGCGTAGGAGGGGCCCGAAGAGGGCGAAGAATCGCCGACCTGGCTGACGGGCCCAGAGGCCGGGGACCTGCCGCTAATAGTTTCGCTACCCGTCTTACACCTTGACAAATCGTCCGGACAATGGAAACAATTTCAGGCCGGTTCGGATGAGACTTTGAGACCTAAACGGATGGTATTGTGGCCCGGCCCTCGACAAGGGCCGATTTTTTAATGGGGTGCACACCTCAGGCCCCCGGAGGATGTGGCCTCGCGCGCTGAAAGGGCCCAGGGGCCTCGCACGCTGTGACTCTGCGTTTATACCGGCCGTAATTAACTCCGACACAATGCTGGCCCGGCTCCCTTTCTTTCGTCCCTCTCCTTTTCTCTTTCTCTTTCTGGCTTTTCGAAATAAAGGATCCGGCCCACGTATCGGCTCGGCGGACCGGGAACCGAGGGATCGATTTTGTCGGCCCAAGAGGGCCCGCCAGGAGCGGACCCGATTCGATCGACTTTTCTCCGCGAAAAGCCAGAGGTTTTTATTTCTCGTTGAACGGTATACGTCTTGCACATTGGAATAGCAAAGGAAGTAGCATTTCAATTAAGGTGAAGTGAAACACCTCGAGGAACTTGATTGACGTCGATAAAGAAGATTTGTCTAAATGATTACGTGGCCGACGTTCGTTTCTATATTGACTGCTGCGTTGAATTATATTGGGTATTGTACCAAATGACATACTCCACCTGTCGTTTTTGTACAATGAATATCAAGAAATCGAAGTAAAACTCCAGAAATCCTCGGGATTCATGCTTTCTGGGGCCCTGACTGATTGTCCTGACACATACAAAATTTGGATTTTGTAAACAAATTTTTTAATTCAGCCCAGACCAGAACCAAAATGGCGACGAGCTCTCATATTTCGATCAATATACAATTATTGAAGGCTCTGATATGAGAATTGAAAGGGTCAGGACAATTTTACGACAATTTAGAACACTCTGGTAATCGATATACTCGCATTTGAACGGGATAAAGGCAAAAAAAGTGTTGCATGCGCTTCTATGCTAAAACGATGGTAATACGTGGTCTCGGAGTGAAAATTTAATTGACCTGGAAATCACAGATGGCGCAGGGGGTCCCTCGGCAGACAATTAGGGCCCCAGAAAGCATGAATCCAGAGGATTTCTGGAGTTTTATTTTGATTTCTTTATAATTATTGTAGGAAAACGACAGGTGGAGTATGCCATTTGGTACAATACCCAATATAATTCGACACAGCTGTCGATATAAAAATGAAGGTCGGCAACGTAGGCATTTAGTAAAATCTTCTTTATTAACGTCAATCAAGTTCCGCGACGTGTTTCACTTCACCTTAATCGCCTCCGATTCGATCCTCCCGCCCCCGGGACCGACGAATCCTGGAGCAGTTAAATTGTCATTTGGATATCAAAGGGACAAAACAGCCGAGAGCTCGGATAAGGGCGCGAGAGGTAATTTGGACGGGCGACAACACAAACGTCGCGCCCGTGGCCCGGCTACGATTCACGCCCACGCGGACCGAGGAAACAGCCCTCAGCTATTGTTGCTCAAAGGCATAATGGAATCTCGACCCCGTCTATCCGCCTCCACCATCTCCGCCGCCACCGCCGCCGCCTCGAGCCCGTTACACCCGTTGCTACGCTCTGTCAGTTAACCGAGGCTTAATGGCCTCGCAATTGGATTTTACCATTGCACCGCTCAGTTCCTCGCTGAAGGTGTCGAGGAGGTTCCGCGAAGCCTCGCCTCCACCGCCCCCAGGGTCCCAGGAACGTCTACGACCGATGTCAAGCCTAATGACAGCCACTGTCAGAGTATCGATGCCCGATTCTCCATAATGCCCTGATCCTCGGAATCTCGTCACCACACATTGTCCGCTAATTTTCAGTTATCTATCTCCTAGTGTCGGAATGACGTTGCACCCAGGTGTAGGGTCTCACCTTAAGGTGAAGTGAAACACGTCAAGGAACTTGATCAACGTTGATAAAGATTTTTCTAAATGCCTACGTTGCCGACGTTGGTTTTTATATTGACAGCTGGGTCGAATTATATTGGGTATTGTACCAAATGGCATATTCCACTGTCGTTTTCGTACAATAATTATAAAGAAATCGAAGTAAAACTCCAGAAATCCTCTGGATTCATGCCTTCTGGGGCCCTAATTGACTGCGGAGGGACACCCTGCGCCATCTGTGATTTCCAGGTCAATTAAATTTTCACTCCGAGACCTCGTATTACCATCCTTTTAGCAAAGAAGCGCATAGAACACTTTTTTTGCCTTTATCCCGTTCAAATGCGAGTTTATCGATTACTAGAGTGTTCTAAATTGTCGTAAAATTGTCCTGAGCCTTTCGATTCTCATATCAGAGCCTTCGATAATTGTATATTGATCAAAGTATGAGAGCTTGACGCGATTTTGGTTCTGGTCTGGACTGAGTTAAAAAATTTTTTTGAAAATTCCAAATTTTTAATGTGTCAGGACAATTCTTAGATGATCAGGAGTAATGTGTCAATGTTTCGGACAGTTTGGTCTAATATCCTTAAAAAAAAGTGTTGTATTCGAATCGACTGATTTGAAGGATGTTTCACTTCACCTTAATACTTCCAATTTTGTTTAACGTTTTCTTTTCTGTTATCTACCGCAAGTCCGACTCGAGACTCAAGTTTGATCACGTCATTATACGGCAAGGAATTAATTGAGAAAATTATTGTAAATTATTTCCCAATCTTGTGCAGTTTTGTCGGTGTCCTTGTCAACCAGAGCTTTTCTGGCTTGGGGGTGTTTGGTGATGGGCGACGCGATGGGCACCGACGCTTTCCGTCGGTTCAACGGTGCCTAATTCAACGTAACGTCATTAAAGGGACATTTTCCAGTTTTCGCCCTAATCCCGCGGATTTCGAGCTACCCCACCGGCTCCCGTGGGGCGACCAACCCCGGGTCTTCCTTCGCGCCTGCCGCCGCGCGTTATCCCTCCGATACTTGTTACCCCTTTAAGGGAAGAACACGATTCGGAAAGTTAAAGCGATTTCGCACTCCACGGAAAGAACCCGGTCCGTTCCTTTTTTCAGATTTCATTTTGCCAACCCCACTGCGCGGGTAAAAATTCAGACCCTGGTTAACTTATACCCTGGTATTTAAAATAAAGTTCTAAGTAAATCATTAAGGGGGTGCGAAAGTGGCATCCGAAAGGCCAATTGTTCATGAAACTTTCCTTCGAGACGGGTGTACCTAATCGTTTCAAACTTTACAACGTTAACGTGGAGGGTATAAGGAAGGTCCTGACACTCGTGAAAATTCATTTGTTTATAAAAAGTTTATATAATACCTGTAAACAAATTTTTTAAAAATTGAAATATCATGGGATTCGCGACCTTCCTTATAGCCTTCATAATTACATTATTAAGTTTCATGCCTAATCGTTTCAAACTTGTAAGATGTGTGTAAGGAGTATCAATTCCATGTTCATAAAATATTTCGAATATAAAAAACTTACCAAAAGTACATTTATCCTATGTTTAGGATATGTACATAGCACGTAAATCCATATCCTATTAATATTGAAATATTTTCAAAGAATATCCTATGAACCTCTGTGCTATGTGTTTCTGCTGTCTGGGATTTTAGTCTTACTGTACTCGAACGAACATACTCAGAGTTGGCAGCACTGGTCCGGCTGATATGATCTAGTCTTCTCTCCATTTTATTTCTCTCCCTATAGTCTTCTCTCAATTTTGTCACAGAATCGCTGGCCCAGGAGCTGGAGCTGGAGCGAAAGACGCGGCAGCATCAGGCGGCCGAGAGGGACCAGGTCAAATCGCCGCTCCAAGGTGCGTGTACGCACTAAACCTGACATGTCTATTACTAAACATGCCGTGACCGAGACCGACCGAAACTACCTTTCTACGCTGTATAAGTAAAGAAACTCAGTAAATTAATTTTATAAGAAAGAACTTAGAATACCACGTAGGAGCCTTACACCCAATGGTCGCCAAAAGACTTTTGCCATAATTCCTCAAGAGCCCAAAGAAAGTATTAACGCACTTTGCAAAAGTCCCGACGACACGTGCGATCCAATGGTTCGAGTCACCCCTTAATCCTAAAAGTTGATTACTTTTATCGAGATGCCACGAGGAAGGGCGATGTATGCAAATGGCAGTTTTCTAACTACACTTTGATGGAATGAAATTTTTATTTATGGCCTCGATCACTTGTATAAGTATTCACAACCTTCTGTGGATATTCTCAAATATTCAATGTTGCGCGGTTATATGTCACAATTATACTTTATTTATAACTCCTGTATTTGCATTTAATTGCCTGCACGCCATGTGTAATTACGGGCAATGATACGTGACTACATACAACAATTAAGAATGTTTTTCCCTCGAGCCATCGGGGAATTAGTGCAGCCGTGACGGCACCGCGACGACCACCGTCGCGGGGCCGTCGCGGCGCTCCGCCCAGCCAGTTTCTTACGATCGAGAAATAAATTTCAATCTTTAATTAGAAACTCCGCCGGGCGGACTTTGGCGCTTCTCTTCTTGCGACGGCATCACCGGCAGATTCGAAACTTGGTTCCGCCATGGCGGCCGAGAACCGCCAACTTTCCGGAGCAAAAAGCGCCGCGGCGCCTGCCCGTGACGTCTAGCCTACTCGAAGCCTCGCAAATAATCGTCTACCCGAGGGCACCCAAATTTCCAGCAAGAGCCGATATTTCGGCTTCCCAGGAACCTCCTAAAATTCCCAACCACCGAACCTTGCACTTCCACTTTGATACAGGTGAAGAAAGAAAATCCCAATTCGGATGTATACAATGAAACTCGACTGTGTTTCGCACCAAGAACGCCAACTGGAGCTGAACTTTACCGAAGGATCTTTGATTAACGAAGTTCCCTGAATAATTCCCACTCTACGTCCATCACTCCCTGGCTGAAAGACGTAAAGTCTGCAACCTCGTGTTGTAGACGTCAAAATAGGAGATGAGAAAAATCCTATTCGAGTGAACACAAAGAAACTTGACTGTGTTTCGCGCCAAGAACGCCAACTGGAGCTGAACTTTACCGAACGATCTTTGATTAACGAAGTTCCCTGAAGAATTCCCACTCTACGTCCATCACTCCCAGGCTAAAAGACGTAAAGTCTGCAACCTCGTGTTGTAGACGTCAAAATAGGAGATGAGAAAAATCCTATTCGGTTGGCCACAAAGAAACTCGACTGTGTTTCACACCAAGAACGCCAACTGGAGCTGAACTTTACCGAAGGATCTTTGATTAACGAAGTTCCCTGAATAATTCCCACTCTACGTCCATCACTCCCTGGCTAAAAGACGTAAAGTCTGCAACTTCGTGTCGCAAACATCAAGTGCACTCATGTCGGAAGCATCAACACTAGCAGTAGCGTTTTAACTACTTTCAGGAATTGACTTTCCGTTTTTTGTCTCGTGGAGCCCAGATTCCCAATTTGGCCTACAGTAACTGGATAACCCTGGTCTTCGATCAGCAGCATTTCCTGGAGTTGCAATTTCACCAAATATCTATAATCCGTCACGAATTTAGTATAGCAGATACCATTCAACACTTTAATTTAGCAAGACGCTTGTTGGTTCCTTCCCATCCAGCCAATCCCATTCTGCTCCACATCTCAGCAGACTGAAGAAAGGTTTGGTCAGCAACGTTCCCCGATCTGATTTTCACCTGCATCATCGGCCGATCGGAAGGCAGTCGAATCTCATCTGGCAGAGATCGCTCGTTTTACGACCAAAGGGCAGAGAAAAAGCTGCGACTGGAAAGATTAAAAGAGGCGACCCATACGAGAGGCCCACGCTTTAAGAACGGGGTGGTCCCGCCGGCCACACCTCCCAATCCCTCGAGAAATGCAATGTTGCGTTAAACAAAGCACCGCGACGGGCCCAGGAGGTGTGGACCAAATATCGGGAGGGACGGGGAGGGAAAAAGAGATCATTAATGCGGAGTCTTTTTCGATCATACGCGACAGTCCGATAAAAAGTCGAAGGCCGGCGGGACCTCAAAGCTGCCGATGACTCGACTGGCCCTCCAAGGATGGGTCCAACCCTTTCGCCGTCCTCGTCTCTCCACCCTCGGACACCTTGACCAGCCTAACCCTTCCCGGTGTTCCTGGACCGGTAATTAGTGAGCGGCGCCCTATCCCGATCCATGACCTGTACTTCTCTTTTCCCACCTACGACCTACCTCCCCCTTGCACCCTTGTCTCCACCAACCTTCATCGCGTATGACCGATACCGAAGCACTCCCACATGATAAGGGCGGAAATTGGCTCCTACCCTTCCTTTGTCAGCCTTTTAAACACGGGAGGAGTCGTAATTGTCCAGGACGTGCCGGGATTTATATTAATTGCCGCGTTTAACCGCGTATCTCACCTCTGGAAATTGGGTAACAAACTCTTGATGATATCAGTATTTGATCGACCCGCCTGGAAATTGATAGAGATCGAAGGTACTTATCTGACGCGTATTAACTTAAATTGACTGAAATACTACGTCCCGTTTGACCATGGAGCTTGACCAATTAACAAAGTCCTGATGAAATTAGTGTCTGATAACCCTAATTGGGATCATCGTGGTGGTGATCAAAGGTATTACTTCGATGTGTTTGTTTGATTTAAACCGATACAAGCATACCTCTTCAAGGTGGGTCTTCATACGTGGTGGTGTATGCCTCTAAAGGACGATTCGTCCTAATCAACCATAAACCTTCCAATGGTCTTGGTTCTTCTACATAATCGTCTTGGCTTGACCTATATTACGTCCAGGTAGCTCTTGGTGCCAAAGTGTCTAGTTGATAGTAGAACTACGTGGTACGGTTTGATCGATCCCAAGTCCAGGTCCCAGTTACTCAACAATTTCGCGTTATGTTGCAGAGTCGCGGGCGGGTTACTACAAGAACTCAGTGCTGTTTACGAGTGCGACCTAGAAGAGGGCCGAGGACGCGCGATAAGAGCTGGTGCGCAGATATTGGCGAGTCCAGCGAAATCCTGGGTGGCTACGTTCGACCCACCCTCTCCCGGAAGGATCCTGCGACGGGATCTTGCAACCTGCCAGGATAGGACACGGACCAAGGGGCAACGAGGGAGAACGAAGTCGGAACCGAGATAACAGGCTCCCAACGACGGATCTTACGTGCATCCTCGCCCGAGAAGAGACTCAGCCCCGCGAGGTGTGTAACGCGCCGAAGTCATTAGAGCGCCCGAATGTAGTTCGTTAAGGCGAAATCAAGAGTTATACCGCAATTAGAGATTACGCCGAATCAAAGGAGGGACGGTACCGACCAATCAGCCCCGAAATGTTGGGCTTAGCCCTGTGCCATGTAAGTACAGCAGGCACCCCCACATCGGAAATATGGAATGAAACCAATTGGAGAATGAAGTGCTTTCAATGCAAATACTTCGAGAAGAGACCCTGGAAAGTGTTCTTATTTCCACCTCTTCTTTTTGGGAGCCTTTGCGATTTTGGGGTGGTTTTCGGGTGAAAGGGGTGGTGTTTTGGACCTGGCTCTTCGATATTTCTAGGGCACTAAATTAGCACCAAAATACTGCGTACTTGTTTTTCCGTCAATCTCTTCCTTAATGAAGTCTGCATTGTGGGGGTGCTGGGTGAACGTTCACTCAGCACCACCGCCGATTTTCGGTATAAGGGGTGAAGCACTAAAATCAGGGTTGTAGCACTAAAATAGCACTAGAAAGGCACTTAATTCTCCAAGGGTTGAATTCCATGTGTCCGATGTGAGGGTGCCTAATGTACATACATCCCTGTGCCGGTCCCGGGCAATGCGCCGGTCCACGAGCGAATTCGATGCTCGCCGAATGGTCAAAACGGTCATGGTCGATAATGGTCGATAATGGTCGAAACGGTCCATGGTCCCCAGATGGTCAAAGCGGTCCATGGCCGCCAAATGGTCGAAACGGTCATGGACTCCAATGGTCGCGGAACGGTCAAACTGATCCAAGAATCGATTTCCAGTCAGCGAACGGTCGAAACCGTTCGCGAATGGTTTCGATGGTCGCCAAACGATCGGAACTGTCCCGAATGGCATTAATGGTCGCCGGGTAATCTCGACAGTCCAGGAACAATGGGGATGGCTCGCGAGGGACCCTGCGTCCTGGAACGGTTGCGGTGGTTCATGGTGGTGGTTCACCGACCATGGTCACCGAACGACCTCGATGGTCAGCGCGGTTCCACGAACTGTCTGTGGCGGTTCCCGAGGGTCAACGAACGGTCGCAACCGTTCATGGATGGACGGCCTTGACGGTATTAAGTGTCCTCAAAAGGTCATGGCTGCTCATAGAGACCACAACGGGTCCCCAACGACCAGGGCGCACAGTGGTGTGTCTGCTAGTCGCGTACGCTCATCGGACATTAGTTAACGAATTAGTTGACGACTTTTACCTCCTTTTATCGCATTCGCCGGTGAACGGCGACCGTGGTGACGTTTTTAAGTGATTTTACAGGGTAGATTAAAGGACTAGGACCTCAAAGGTCGTCGATCCGGGGCGCGATTGGAGTCTTCGACCGCAAGAACGTTTTCATACTGCCTTGACGTGGGGATTTTCGGGCGGGATTTGGGATTGGGATATGAAACCTGTACATACGATGTCCAGACCACTGTGCGCCGAAAGCGACCCGTTGACCCACCACGCCAAGTACACGTTTCCCTCGTGGCCAACGTCGGCTACACATATCAGAGCGGCGCGAGACGCGACCGAGTCTCTTTACCGGCGCGCACCCTGTAAGGACTATAAAGGCCGCTCCTGGGCCCATCCTGGGCCCAATTCGGGTCGATTTATCGCCGTTTAAGCACCGATCTCGCACCGGCCGTGCGTCACGCACGTCTCCGAGGGCACCGAGGTCCTCGCAGTCGGAACCGTGCGACAGAAGGGGGGTGGAATATTTAAATAAGAAGAAATAAATAAAAAAAAAGAAAGACTGCGTCGAGAGTGCGTGCGCGTCCGCATGCGTTCCTAGAGTTGTAAGTGCGCACTAAAAGTATCCGAGAGCGAGTTAACTAGCGAGTTAAGACGGTAGCGACCCCACTCGAGTTTCTATACCCTTTTCCGCCCTTCTCGTCCGAGTGTGCGTGTAAGAAGGGCTTCGAGTATTATTTGACTTTTCCTGGTCCGGCCCCGACCGGGCCCCCGGCGGTTACGACGGACACCGGGCCCACGCGGACTTTCGACCACCCTGGGACTTTTCTTACGTATAAACGGATCCGCGAATCTACTTTTTTAACGTCTCCATGTCGAGATTCGTGGAACGCCCTCGATGGCGGTAGAATTAAGCGGACGGCTCGCGGAAACACAAGGCCCGGTCAACTTTGAAACGCGACCTGCCGAGGCTGCGCATGAAATTCTAAGTCGTAAATCTATTTATTTCAAAGAGAGACGAACACCAGGCGACGCGATCGTCGGCTGGCTGATTTCTGGAACCCTTTGTGGGGAGAGGAACTCGTCGCGGTATTTAAAGGACGGCGTGACTTCGGGCCCGAATTCGAGAGCAGCCCTTTTCCTCGTGGAGTGGGAGAGCCGGGAGATAGAGGGGAGCGGGAGAGAGAGAAAAGAGACTCCGCGAACCTCCCCTAGGAAGGCCCAATCCGAGAGCGCCGGGGGCAGCCGGTCGGGGCCTGCACCGCCCTGTAAAATATCCTGAGAACTCTCTTCTTAGCGTTTTAAGGCTAACATCTTATTTATATTATACATATTATACATATAAATATATATATATATATACATACAAAGATATAAATAGCTAATCCCCCCGGAGAGGAGTCGAAGCTACTCCGACTCGCGCGTACACCCCAAAGAGTACGCGCCGAGCGCAGGGGCTCCGCCTCCGGCGAGCGACCGGCGGCGCGCGGGGCGACGCGACGAACCAGCGGGCCCCGAACGTCGGCCCGAGCGCGCCCGAACGGGTCCGAACGGGCCCGAGCGCGGCCGAGGAGTGGGGGCGCTCGCCCGCGCTCGAATTCCGGCACAAAGTCGCGCGCCGCTCGACGGACTCCGTCGACGCTCGGGAATCCTCGGTGACGGTCGGCGGTCCTCGGCGACGATCGGCAGTCCTCGCTGTCGGGCCTCATTCCGCGCCCAGACTCCGCGTCGGACGGATCGCGCGTCGCCGACTCGTTTCTCAGGCCGCCCACCAAAGATGCGTGCGATAATAACGCGGGCAATATTTGGAGAAGCATCTATTACGCCCACATACTTGTCCGTGTTAATCAAAACAAGTACATAGATGCGCTATATGCTTCTTGAGAGATTCGTTGCGTGCTTATCTTGGGAATCTTTGGTGGGTCGCAATGACGGTTCCGCGACTCGCCGGCCGAGCCCCGTTCTGCGTCGACTCGCGATAATCGATATCGTTCCGAGCACTCGGCTCCAACGAGAATATGACGAGGGAGGGCAAAATCGGCGCGGTGTCCTCCCGGCGGGGGGAGGGCCCCTCGTGGCGATTTCACGGGCCCGTCCGGGGCACGCGCGGGCCCCGGCACGAGGCGGCGAGAATCCGGCCCCCGACGAGCGCCCCCGAAACCGAGCCCCGGGCCCCGGGGGGCCCCCAACCCCCCCTCACCGCCCCGCGAGCGGACTCTTCTACAGTCTAGTATCGAGAATTCAGCAAAAGTGTATTCATGTAATTCACCATTATTACGTATGAATAAATAGTTGTTATTGTAACAGTCTCGCCTACTGCTTGCCTCTTCCCTTTGAATTTACAGCTTCCCAGGACCATCTCTGAGATTGTTACCGCGATGCTTAATCGAGTTCCACGGAATTATTGTAATTTTTCTCCCGACGCGTATCGACCTCCTAAGTGGTAATTCCTTCCCCGGGTGCAACGACGTTATGGGGTGGACGGGGGGGAATTATCGCGCCATGCTATCACGCTGATTATTCCACGTATGACTTTTTTGTTTATTCCCTTTACACGTACTTTTACGCCGCTTCGGCGCTTTTATCTGACCCGAGGCTCGAGGAGGAAAGGAAGCGAAGGTATTAAGGGGGTGGCAGGGCGCGTGCATCGCGGGACAAGGCATTCTTATCAATTTGTAGGGCCGTAACGACGCGAGGCACGCGACCCTCCACGATTGGTCCGCCGCGGCTCCACCCTTTCCCTGGGAATATTTTAATAAATAACCGCAATCCGGGGGAACGCGGTGCCATCGACCGGGAAACACCCCTTAATTAAATCGCCGGCCTCGGTCGCCGAATGTCTTCATCCCCGTATCGTAACCCCCTCGAATCTTTTCCCTAAATACGGTTTTCACCGCGATCATGTAAACTCGCGCCCTATAAATGAAGAGGAATCTTTTACATCCCCTTTCAAGGGGTTGTCCTCGATTTTGAGACCTTGGTGTTAGTTCTTTCGATCATTGCAGAACTCGTGGGCTTTCTCTCTTGTAGTTTAATTAGGCACATCTCTAAACGTAGTCGCTATACATTTACATCAATTTTTAGCTTCGCGTTCAACTTCCAATGGGTCCCTAGTAGCATAGAATAATTTCTAAATATTTCTTCGTAATCCTTGCTAAATATATCAAGCGACAGATTTTTTAAGATCTCTTGTAGATTTCATTCGAAGACATCTGAAATATTTGTTGAAAGTCTCAATGACGTGTTTAGTTTCAATAATTTATAAACATATAGAGAAATATTTTTTAACTTATTGACATATTAAAAATACATTTTTTACTTCACGACTATTATCGGACACTTCATTCGGTGTCGAAAAACACGAGAAATTTTTCCAATATTTTCCTTCCGCTATTTCAATATGGGAGCAAAACGTGTGATTTTGATTTTAAATATTCTTAAAACGTTTATAATATACTTGGCAGATAATATTTAAAAAGTTACTTGTATTAAAATGAAACGAAATGTTTCGTACATCTGGTAGAAAAATATTATGAAAACACATGGAGCTAATATTATATAAATATTATAGAGATAATAT